TTGGAAGAATCAAGATGTAATAGAAATTCCTCTTTAGCAGACACCTTCTAGCACTGAGTCATTCATCTGTACTCATTAAGTAAAGTATGTTGTTATTAAATGGCTGCTCAGTAATACAGTAGCAGCATAGGAGGGATATGTGTTTTCTTCACTGAATCTACATAATTTCAGTGGAGGTTTTTTTTTTGTTTTTTTTTTTTTTTAAATCAAGAAGGAGATGCATTTGCGCAGGCTTTATTACAGGCTGTGAGAATCCTAGAGCTTAACCTCCCAGGCTGTATGTGAAATTTCACCCTGAAGAGGAGCTGCCTCCCTTCCCATCCTGAGCGAGCACTTGCTCCTGCTCTCTCACACCTGCATGCAAACACACGTGCACACAAGTCATCCTCCTGTTTATTTCCGTGTGTGGCACATTGAAGGATTCAGAATGACACCCCATCAGTTGTTTGGGAGGAGTAGGATTTTGGATGGCAGCAGAGCACAAAAGTAGAGGAGAGAGAACTGAGACCACTGTTGTCGCCCTGAAGGGATGGGGTTGCATTTAATGGAAGAGGAGCCTGGATCTGCTGCTGTGTTAGAGGAGAGGAGCAATGTGACTGACTACTGTTTCATCATCATGAGAAGAGGAAGTATGGTGGCTCAGAAGTAAAAATGAAGAAAAGCTATGTGACTTTTTGCACTATTTAGAAATAGTGCAAATGCTGTCCTTGGGGAAACAAACGCAAGGCTTAAGCACAGGGAAATTTACCAGCACGTGAAGCAAAAGGACATGTTAAGCGTGCCATGAAAATGTGACATTGTGTGTATTTGAATGATGTGGGGCTGGAAGAAAAGGGAATAATACTGAGAATAAACTGAGGATAACAATTAACAACAGATCTGGTTTTAAATCCAGTGTGACCCGTCTAGATTTTTATTTTTCCAGAACTTCTGTCTTCTGGGCAATCAACATACGGGTAACACCAAATAAGACCATAGATCTTTTGCTAATTGCAAAAGTAATGTGAAAGTTTTAACTTAAACCAGTTTAGTATTTTGCTTTACATTCATCTCTCTGATATACCAGTCATGAATTGTAGTAAAGCTAAGGAAAAGCTCCTGCAGCATTTGCAGCGTATGTGGGTTGTGCCCCTGAAGTACTGATTATGCTGTGCAGAAAGGCGACTGCATTCTTCATTATTTGAAACTTGGGTTGTATTTCAGTGTGGAAATTATGCGGAAGAGTGATGGACAAATGTAGGGAGATGAAGGGAAGAGGAGGAGTTGTGTGAGATAGGAGAATGTATAAAATACGGGAAAAGAAAAAATTGGGTAGAACGGCAGATTAGTGGGAGAACTGACAGGCTTAGGATACTGATATGTAAATCCACGTTAGGAACAATCCTACGGCTATCTGTAAGTTTTCATTGATACCAAGAAGCTGAAATCACCTAATCTATATTAAGGTTTGTGTTACCCCTTCTTTTCAGAAGGTGCCTGTTAGAAATAAGGGTGATGTCATGAGGTAATCCAAAGAACTATTTTTGTGTATTGAAAGGTGGGAAGAATGTTCTTAATTAAATTCTCATCATATTTGCATATATTACATAATTCTGATTTCTGTTTGTGTTGATTTAGTTCATATTCTGTTGATAAAAACTCTGTTGTTACTAAGCCAAATATTGAAACTATTCTAAAAAAAGGACTTAGGTAATAAATCAAATGTATTTTAATTTGCTTTATTGTTTTACATCTTGGGGGAATCATCTTCTCCCAACTGTATAAAATCATCTTAAATTCAGCCTTAACCCCCTTAAACCCCTCCCCCACAAAAGGGGGAGCTGTTTGAGACAAGACAGGAAGATATCTTTGGTTGGTTCGTACTTCCTGGCAATAATAGGTGAAGGTATGCTATCATTTACTTTATTCCAGTGGAATAAAGATGAGCGCACTTATTCTTGGTAAACAGTGCCAAGAAAGCCCTGTTCTTAATTAAAAACTATTCCTCCCTCATCCCCCCAATACTTCATATGTTTGATTGAATCAAGGGCTGTTTTGTCTTCAGAACAAACGGCTTAAAAAAGTACTAGTAATTCTGTATTAACTGAAGTGTAGAATGAGTTTAGGTTGAGATTTAGACTTTGTCTAGCTTTATTTGGGTTCTTTGTAGAATGATTTTTTTTTTTTTTTAAATAAGAGAAGATGGTGTTAATCTAACAGCAAGACTGGAGAACCTAACAGTCTATAAAGCCTTCATACAGCTGCCTTGACATCTAAATATATAGGTGTCTGTGTTTTTCAGTAGCGAGGGATTTAGGTGCCTGAAATTCTACTTATGCACAGACAGCAGTGCTGGTTTGGCTTGTCTTCTGCCCAGGTCCTTCTGGGATCCTGAAATTAAGTGTTCTTGTTCATTAGCCCTTGTACAGAAGTCTTTAATGTTCATCATTGGAAGTGAGTTCAGCACAAAGCGTAGCAGCTATGGCTATGGCACACTAATCGCAAAAACTGTGTATGAACCAGAAAGGAAATATGGAAAAGATACAGAGTTGGTTGTTGAGAATAAACCTGAAAATTGCCAGGGCAAGAAGCAAGCTGAATGGGAAAGTAAAGCCATGGGAAAAACATTGGAAAGAGCTAACAGATCATAGAAAGCTATGAGATTACGCTGAGATTAAAAGGAAAGATAGTATATGAGAGCTGGAGGCTAATGAAAATGGGATTCTGGTTGCGGGGAGGGAGCAATATATTGTGTAATGAAGTTGATGAGAATGAAACAGTTACTCTGAAAAGGCAGGGAGACAGGACTGAGATCAGAAATGCCTGATAACAAGGACTGTGATTGGGGTGGTGGCACATGCCCCCAGGATTGGCAATGGTACAGCTTAGATGAGAAGGGGAGGTGGCCAAGTTTTGAGGGAGACTTCTGGGCATCTGTATTTCAATACAGATGGAGCTTCTTTTCAATGGTTACTGTCTTTGAAAGAGCTGGAAATTAAACCAAGCTCAGAAAGCTGTCTTGAAGCGTGTTGTTTGAGTTACAGAGAACAAGCGCTGCAAAGCTGGGAAGGTGAAGAACTAAGGTTGTCTAGAACATGTTAACTGAGTTCCCTTGGATGTATGCGTTATGATATAGTTTTAAATGATGTGATCTCAGAATTGTGTGGTCTTTTCAAGTGGACGAGAAGTGTACGAAACTATGCAGCAAATGAGACAGGCCTTTGAAAACTTGCTTTCATTTGTGGTAGAAACTTTAAGACAGGTAGTGAATGGGGCAATGCACTACACGAAAAAGGAAAGGTGCATCGCCTAGTTAAGGCAGATGAACACAGCTTCCTCAGAAAGTTAGTTTAAAGCATTATATAAGGCTAGATACACTGATAAATGAGTTTTGGGACTCTCTGGTTGAACACTAAAGTTTGTAATGCTCTTAATTCCAAAGTTTCATTCTGTAAGTTCACAGTCTATGGGGATGACATGACATCCCTCACAGGGGACTGCAGTGCAATCTGTGGTTATCCAGACAGCACCAAAGAGAAGCCCTGATTGAGAACTAGTGTTTCTGCCCTCAGAGTGCTGTTCTGAAGTGGCACAGAATAACCTGGAGTAGACAGAAGTGTGGAGCTGTGCCGTGACCATATGTAATTCAGTTAATGTGTAGATTTTCAGTACTCTTTTTTCTTCTAGCTACTGTATTCACTGAATGAGGTCGGGGTCCTGTGGAAAAAAAAGGCATGTCATCACCTCATAAAAAGCCAGTCAGACAAGATATGAACAGGGGGTGCCAATTAACTGCATATCCTTAAACAATAAAAATTGGGACTTCTGAAGTGCTTAGCTTAAAAATTTGTTAGTTTTCACCTCATTGGACACCTTTCTTATTTTAAGATTTTAGGGTTGTCAAGGATGTTGATGTTTATATATAGCTTGTTGACTTGTTTTTTTTTAAATGGTGTGCTTTCCATATGTTTATCCTGGGAAAATCGGGATGCACAATGTGCAAAGAAAACTTAAAAACTAGGAAGCATAGTTACAGTCAGTTTTTTAATTTCCATTGACTTCTGGTAAAATATTCTTTGAAAAAATGTACCTTGCTTACTTTTCCAATTATATATTTAATTGCATGATGGAGAAGATAAAAAATAATTTTCTTTTGTTCTGATGTAATTGTAATTGTATTTTAGTGGAACTAACTCCATCTCTGTTTTCTTTCTAATGTGGATATATTCTGACCATGGTCAAAAGTAAGACTGAAATTACTATTTAGAGAGACTAGTTTCAGTAGTTGTGTCATATCAAATGTATTGCTTTTCTACCCTGTTATTGTTAGATGGGCTGCTCTAAATGAGGTGGTCTAATTCTGGAAAATTTGAATATGTGCAGGTGGACTTCTGTGTCGGCAAAGCCACACTTATTTAATTGGAGCTCCATATGTCTGCAAAAATTGATTCCATATGGCTGAATATGTTTCTTTAATTCATACTAGTGCCAGAACAAAGTAGAACAACTTTCTTTTTTGAGCTCCTCCTTAACTAAGTGACACTGCACCTGTACACAAACCGTTCACTTTTTCAAGCGTTAATTGAATATGTAGGATTTTCTTGTTGTAAGGTAGCTTAAATCTGTGGCTAACAAAGCCTTAACTGTGTCACTGTCTGTTTGTACTTCTAAAAACAAGCGATGAAATATACCTAAATCATGCAATCCCACCTTCTACTAGGTTGAATTTACATGAGGTTTCTCACAGAAAACTCTTTCATTTCAGGTTGTGCTGAGTCTAAAAAAATGTCTATATGTAGAACTGGTCAAATAAAACCCAGTCTTTTTGCAGGGAAAAAAAGCTTTGAGTTTGCTTTTGATTAAGCAAATTGATGGGAAATAATCCTTTTATAAAAGCTGGATATCTGAATTTTTGAATTGCTGACAATTTGGGACCATAAGAGTTGATACAATCAAGAGATGAACTTAGGAGGAGTTATGTAAATTTATTTTTTTCTTTGTTTTTTTTTTATTGTACACAGGTACCTAAGGATAAAACTGGCCTGAAGGGAAAATCTGGGGGAAACTGGGGAGCTTGACTGTTCTTGCACCTGAGTAAGTGAAATCTTAGCTGGGAATCAGCTTTACAAAATGTTAAAACTGTTATTTCTCAGCATCTCTGTGCCTAATTGCAATCTGTAACTTGAGAGAATACCTTGGGTTTTGAATTGAAGATTAGAAGTACCAGGGCTAGCTAAGGGGAATGTTGTATAGAGCCTTTAGTGCTTTGCCATAGGTTTGCTTTTTATTGCTATCCCTTATGCCTTCATAAAATTAAACGTAGATTATATGCAGGATTTCTTGGTATTTTAGTGTTTTGCCTTTTCAGTTATTTATCTTGAGAGTAATTTCTGAGTTTGAACAACCTCTGTGTTTCTTAAATTTAATCTTGCTAGTTTATGAACATAAGGCACTGAGATTCAGCAGGACTGAAGTCCAAAGAAGAAGTCAGGTTAAGTATGAGGTCATCAGACGATGAAGGCTGAGAAGATGACCTTGTGGTGGCCTAATATGGTTGTCTTGGAAAGGGTAAATGCTCGTTTCATGTTGTTTGAGACAAAAGCTATTGGCTTGATTGGGTTTGCTTCTGTTAAAGTAGTTGGATTAGCTTCCATTCAAATAGCACAAGGACAGCTTTTCTTCATCAGCTTTGACAGGGCATGTGGCAGACATTCTTAGGCATCTGAAGGTCCCCAAGCAGTCCCAAACCCAGCCTACACAGGTTTCTGACAAGGCAGGAAGAATATTTTTCAGTTACCCACCTAGCTTCCTTTCCTGGCACTCCAAGCATTATTCTGGTTACAACAAATTATTTTACATGTCAAAAAGCTACTTTGCTGTATTATTTAACATATTTATTTATTCATACATATTAATATATGAAATGCATGTAATATTAATGAGCAGATAAGTATAGTATAGCACAAAACTTCTTTCTACTGGTAACATATTTTTAATAATGGGCAAGTTAATTGAGTTTTCTGAAACAATTCCCAGAGCTGGAGCCTTTCTTCCTGCTGGCATTAATCATGCTAAAAGAATTGTGGTTAGTTTTGGACGGCTTCAGTAAGTTGAATATCCTTACTGGTATCTACATAAAATTTTATAAACTCTACTTATCAGCTGGGAGTCTTTCGATTTAATCTGGTCTAAACTTGTTATTTGTGCATTTTATTCCAAATCTGAGCTGTGGTTTAATCATATTCTTGTACTGAATGCATGAACTTATAAATTGATATCTGTCACGTCACTGCATAAAAAAGTGTTTCATTTTGCCATAGAATTTGCTGTGTTTATCTCTTTGTGGTAGAGTAGTAGACCAACAAGTCTCTCATTGCTTTTGATATTAAAGAGAATTATATATGTAACTTAAAAATATGCCAGGCTTTGTGAGCTATACCCACATAAGACTTTTAATTCATTCAGAAATGCATTGTGGCAGCACTTGCCATGATCATTTTTGATTTGTAAGTTAGGTAGTGAATCACAAATAATGCCTGAGACTGTATTACAAGTAACTGGTTGCTTTCTTGTGCATTTGTAGTTCTCACTGAAGTTCTGGTTCCTGCAAATATTGTGCCTTGCCATACTTGCAGTCATTGTGCATGGGTTTAGGAACTAGGTCTGTGGACTAGCGAACAGGTGTAAGGTTTATTAAAAGAGAGAAGTTCAGTATTCTTAAATGATAATGGCATGTTTTGAAATCAAAATTGGCTCAACGGCTCTATTTTAAATCCAGCAGGGACCTTTGAGAGAGGTTTTTGCCTTGTTTCTTTTAACTTCTATACTAATGTGCAGCAAATGTTTTCATTTATTTCCTGTGTTATCGGTCCTACTCTGCATTATTTTAGTCTATTGCTTTTGACAGTGATGAAAGACAGGTATTTCCTGACCCTTTTGTATTTTGGGTGCTACATAAGCTCAGCCGTTCACGTTGAGAATATTTTCTTCTCCTATCTTGTTCCCCTTTTCTTTTTTTGGAAGGCAGCACTAGAAATTCTAGGTGCAGTTGCAGTCTTTTGGGAATTATGGTTTAAATTTTGTGCTTGTGTACATGAGACAGGAGCTTACCCATACAAAAGAAAGGTGGTCATTCTGCTGGGCTTGAGGATTGGTAGCTGTAGTGACTTCTGCCTTGACAAAGATACCGTGTCAATGTAATGTTACCTTTTACTTGAAAATTATCCTTAATTCTTGTTAGAGGAAGGCAGAAGTCAAGAACTATTGAACTAAGCGCAGGGGATAATCCAATTAAATTGTGTAGTCTATTCCTTTATGAATATATGATTGATCTCTAATTTAGGTGTTTTATGCAGTTTATTATTTGCCGGTTATTGTAGTTACTGAATCACCTACAGATTTTCTCATTCAGATTTGAAATTGAGTGCCCTGGGGCAAGATTTTCTCAGTTAAGCATGGAAATGAACTGGCCGTGTTTTTGAGAGCATCCTGCATGTAGCAGTTCTTGTGTCTGGTGAATAAGATAATAATAAGATAAAATGTATCCATGACGCAACACTGTGTACTGTATTATGTTCTTTTTCAGGGACTGGTAGGTAATAGTCTGTGCCATATTTAGAGGCTGAAGTGAAGGCAACTGGTACTGTTGCTACGCCCTGTTGATGCTGTAGGATGAAGCTCTTCAACTTCTTTTCTAGACAATTCTAAAAGTTTTTTTTAATCTTACGAGAAATTTTTGGTTGAGGATTTTTGTTTTTTTATATTTTTGAGAGGGGTTCTTCATTGTTTGGAAAGTGGCATTTGAGTAATGAAAAGCTTCAGTAGCTGAAATTTTAAGAAAGAGGAACCAAACAAATTTATTTAAACAATTGTATTTATTAAAATAGCTTGTTCACAGACTGTTAACAGAACTGTAGTTGCAACCCTCTCCCACACTTTGTCTTTGAAAGACAACTTATTTTGATCAGACCTAAAATGTTGATGAAATTGTATCTCCTTGTTTTGCCTGAAGGCAAGTGACAGAGCCTTTCATTTGTGTTTGGAAAGTTGTATATCACTAAATTTGAAAGGTACCTAAGTCCTGTGGTTGGCCTCAGCATTAAAATATATAGACACTTCTGCTTTATGAGGCTGTAAACTAGGTAATTCATCACTAGTGGGGATCTGGAGGTAGATGTGGGCTTTTAAAGAACAATATGTTATGTTACAAATTCCTTTGGAGGGCGAGTGTTTGTTTTTAGGGATTCCTCGAGAGTGGAAGCTTATTATGGTGGTATTGTGCATGTAATAAATCATGTACTTTGCCTAGGTTGTTTTTTTTTTTTTTTTTTTTCTTAAAGGTCTAAGACCAGTCAAACATTCTGTCATAATAAGAATAACAAGTAGTATCCTCTCTGCAAACACAGAAGGGGGGGGGAAACATTGATTTGTGGGTGGGTTTTTTAAGTGTAATATTCTCACTCTCTATATAAATAAATGATAGTGTGTCACACAATTCACGTGAACAGCAATGCAGCTGCATTGCTGTTGTCTGCCCAAACAACAAGAAATGAGAAGGAACGAAGGGATGACAAGGGGGATATGTATCGGAGATCGGCATTGTGGTATGAATGAATTGATGCTGTGGTTTTATTGGGGGTGGGGCACACTCATTACAGGAGGCTTCCTCTGTTTGCTGCTCTTCGATATTTAGCAAGCATTTTTTGTGATCCTTTTTGCAAACCAGCTCATGCAGTAACTGGCAAAACAGAAGCAATTAGTGGTGTAATCTCAAAGGGAATCTCAAGCTTCACTTTAAGTGCAATGATTAAATCCACTAAAATGATAACCATTGCTGCCAAGAACTCCTGTATTGGTCACTAATGTATTTTGTTGTAGCAGTCAATAACCACTGGATTACATGCATGTAATTAGTAATGCATACACGTTTGGTCAGTAAAATTGAAAATCCTAATAACCGAGGCTAGAGGGGGTGGGAAGGAACACAGAGCTGGAGAACTGAAATAGTGCTCTGTTGATAGTACCTAACTAGAACTGTATGCTTCAATAAAACAAGTGTCCTACTGTGCTGGAATACAAATGGGCTGTCTGTGGCAGGATATAGCAAAGACGTTTGGCAGAGAGGGATTTGAAAGCTTCTGGCATAATGTAATTGAATTGGCCATTTCTTTAAAGATACAGCAAATTGTTTGCTGTGGCATTCATCATCATAAGGAAGGTCAGACAGCTTGCCAAACATATGATATTCATAATAAAAAGTAAAATGGTGACGCTTACATTTAAACACAAATCATGTTATGTTTGTAAAAGCTGTGGAAATAATTGGGAATATTTTTGGTGGCGCTGAGGCATTAGTAATCTAAGTAAGACTGTAATTCAAGAGGGGGAAAGCTCATAGTCGGGGAAAAGACCCCCACGGGAATTCAGCTAGTGAGCAACATGTGATCCCCCTGACTTGAGAGGATAGTAGGTGTTTTGGCAGGAGCATTGCTGACTGTCTCTTCTGATCACTTAAGGGAAGATAAGCTTGTATGATCCCATTTTTTCCCCTTTAAGAAAACAAAGAGAAAAATAACAAAGAAGGAGGAATGAAGGAAGCCTTTAAAAGAGAGAAAATCTAAACTGAGGCATTGCTGGGTTTTGTTAGTTACGCCGTGACAGAACAAGATGATGCAACAACCTGTAGCATATCTGAAATGTCATAAGAAATGCTCGGTATTGGTACACTGGGAAACCCCTCTTGAGTCACATCCAGAACGCTGAACATAAATTGCATGATGACAGGGGCTTTGAGCCACACCGTGATGCCTCTGCAAATGAGTAGCTGTTAGCTTTTAGGTTCTAACACATTCAGGAGACTGGCATTTTGATTTCTTGCACCACTGCACCACTGATAGGGTTGGAAATGGGAATCAAAATAATTAGATTGGATATATAGATCCCAGCAAACCAGCCAAGAAAGCAGCTGGGCTGGGGAGGGCCGCTCGGAATTGTAAAATGTGCTGGCGCTTTTTTTTTATGAGAGAGCGAGGACGGAAGGAGTAAACTAGAGTGCAGATGCTCACCATTTATATTCAAAGCATGTAATAAAATAA